CAGACTGAACTTTCACGTCCACTTCACTTGTGATTTTGAATTCTCACCATATACCCATATTATGATTAAAATGTTTCATTTTCCAAATAATCATTTAAAGTTCATCTTTATAAAAAAAAAAAATTTCAAAAAATTGAGAGACCGTTTAGTCATATGTTGTATTAAATAAATGGACAGTTCATCGCCATAATCTTAATTATTATCAAAACTATCGATTTATTTGATACATATAAATGACTAAACGAACTATAATTTGATTGATTTTTTATATTTATAAATATGATCGTTAAATGGTGATTTAGAAAATTAGTTGTTCCAACATATATACAATATAGATTTATAAATCACAACTGAGTTGAACATGGATGTGAACCCAAATATTGTTCATACTTGTGGTTAGGACATCTCTTTCTATCATTAGCAAAGCCACTATGTGGCAGTGACGCGTAATGCCACGTTAGCATGGTGGTGCCTTTTAATTATAGCCTAGTTTGACTTTTGGACTGTTGTGAGCCTTTGTGATCAACAATGCTTTTGTCCTAATCCGTAGCTTGACTGAAAGTTTCCATGCTTACCAACTTATAGCTTCAAACATTTATTAATGCCATGATCATCAGGTTCCAACTTCTGAGAAGTCCCCTTCAAAGAAATTAAGCTTTTGTTTGTAGTGGCCAAAATCATCCTATTTTTAATCAATTACATTACGTCATTAGTGATGTGTAAATGCACCAGTTGTTCATTATAGTTTATTATTTAAAAAAAACAGGACAAAAGAATTTTGCAAAATACTAACGTTGTCTATTGCAATTTCAGGTCTTCCAAGAAGTGCAAAATACGGCATAATCATAGGCGTGGGAATACCCGGGTTCTTATGTATCCTTGGACTAGCAAGTTATGTCTGCGGCAGAATAAGTGCTTATGGTCGCCGCAACCGGCCAAACATGGACCTCTCTACCTCAGCTTCTCAGCAGCCCGCTATTGTCGTAGTGGGCCTCGACGGTCCAACTATCGAATCGTACCCAAAAACTTTGCTAGGTGAGAGTCGGAGGTTGCCCAAGCCCAACGACACCACTTGCTCCATATGTTTGGGTGAGTACCAAACCAAGGAAGAACTGAGGACTATACCAGAGTGCAACCATTACTTCCATGCTACTTGTGTAGACGAGTGGCTCAAAATGAACGCAACTTGCCCCGTTTGCCGGAAGTCACCGGAGGGCTCAGCTCTTATAACCCCTTCGTCCTCAATGTCTTCATCTTCAACTTCTTTACCGTCGCCATAGAATTC